ACCACCCCTTCTCCCCCCCCCACCCCACAGGGCAGATGTCGGGCGCCCACACCCGCCTGGAGTTCCACAACATCGAGACGGGCATCGTGACGGAGCGGCGGTTCCTGGCCGTGGTGCCCTCCAACTTCCTGGGCCACCTCAGCGGCCTCCTCTTCAACGGGCTGCCCTACCTGGACCTCTGCAAGAACGGGGACATCAGCTCCTGCGAGCTCAACGCCCGCTTCGGCCGACGGGCCATCGTGGCCGACCCGGTGGCCTTCCGGGGCCGCGGGTCCTACGTGGCGCTGGCCACCCTCCAGGCCTACTCCTCCATGCACCTCTTCTTCCAGTTCAAGACCACGGCCCCCGACGGCCTCATCCTCTTCAACAGCGGCAACGGCAACGACTTCCTGGTGGTGGAGCTCGTCAAGGGGTGAGGGGGACGGTCCTGGGGGACCTCCCAGGACCTTGGGGACCTCCTAGGACCTTGGGGACCTTCTGGGACACCGGGGGTGGTGGTGCTGAGGACCTTGGGGACCTTCTCAAGCTCATTAGGGCCTTGAGGATCTTGGGGAGACCTGGGGGACCTTGGGGGCCATCTGGGACACTCATGAAGTCCTGGGGACCTTGGTGACCTCCTGGGACCTTGGGGACCTCCTGGGACACCGGGGGGTGGAAGTGCTGAGGACCTTGGGGACCTTCTCAAGCTCATTAGGGCCTTGAGGATCTTGGGGAGACCTGGGGGACCTTGGGGGCCATCTGGGACACTCATGAAGTCCTGGGGACCTTGGTGACCTCCTGGGACCTTGGGGACCTCCTGGGACACCGGGGGGTGGAAGTGCTGAGGACCTTGGGGACCTTCTCAAGCTCATTAGGAACTTGGGGACCACCTGGGACACCCATGAGGTTCTGGGGACCTTCTCAAGCTCATGAGGGACTTGAGGGTCTTGGGGAGACCTGGGGGACCTTGGGAGCCATCTGGGACACTCATGAGGTCCTGGGGACCTTGGGGACCTCCTGGGACCTTGGGGACCTCCTGGGACACCAGGGGGGTTCTGGGGACCTTGGGGACCTTCTCAACCTCATGAGGACCTTGAGGATCTTGGGGACCTCCTCAACCTCCTTAGAACCTTGGGGGCACCAGGGAGGTCCTGGGGACCTTCTCAACCTCATGAGGATCTTGGGGAGACCTGGGGGTCCTGGGGCCCCGGCGTCCGGGGCTCCTTCCCGAGGGGAGGGGGAGCACACGCGTGTTCTCGTGTGACACACACACACGTGTCAGGGTGTGACACGTGGCTGCGCACACGCGTGTGCCCATGTTCTGTGGGTGCGCACACGCGTGTGCTCTGCCACCGGGCACGGGCACACACAGACACACGCGTGTGTGGACACGCTACAGCCGTGAGCAGACACCCCTACACACACGTGTGTGCTACAGCTGTGCACACACACACGCACACTGCTGTTGTGCAGACACGCGTGCGCTCACGGGCTGTAGCCGTGCACCAACACGTGTGCACACACACACACGCACCCTGCATGTAGCCGTGCACCAACACGTGTGCGCACACACACACACGCACCCTGCATGTAGCCGTGCACCAACACGTGTGCGCACACACACACACGCACCCTGCATGTAGCCGTGCACCAACACGTGTGCACACACACACACGCACCCTGCCTCCCCCCCCCATTTCCCTCCCCGTGTCCCCTGGCTGTTGCACGCGTGGGGTGGGGGTGTGTGTGCACACACGGGGGGGGTGTGTGTGGCATTTGCACGCTCCATGCGTGTGGGAGTGTGTTGGTGAGGGGGGGTGAGTGTGCAAGGCCGTGCGTGGCTGCCGTGGGGGAGTGTGTGCACGTGTGTGTGCACAGGGTGCCTGCAGACGTGTGTGTGGTGTCACACGGCTGTGCCCAAGTGTCATGGTGTCACCTGGTGTCACTTGTGTCACGGTGTCACCCAGGGTTCCTGGTGTGATGGTGTCACTTGTGTCATGGTGTCACCCAGGGTTCCTTGTGCTGTGGTGTCACCTGGTGTCACCCCTTGTGCCACGTCACCCAGGGTTCCTGGTGTCACCTGGTGTCACCTGGTGTCACCCGCTGTGGTGGTGTCACCTGGGGTTCCTGGTGTGATGGTGTCACCCAGGGTTCCTGGTGCTGTGGTGTCACACGGTGTCACACCTTGTGGCACGTCAACCGGGGTTCCTGGTGTCACCATCGTGGTGGTGTCACCTGGGGTTCCTGGTGTCACCTGGTGTCATCTGGGGTTCCTGGTGCTGTGGTGGCACCATCGTGGTGGTGACACCCATCGTGGTGGTGTCACCCGGGGTTCCTGGTGTCACCTGGTGGCACCCATCGTGGTGGTGTCACCCGGGGTTCCTGGTGCTGTGGTGACACCCTTCATGGTGGTATCACCTGGGGTTCCTGGTGTCACCCGTTGTCACCCTCCGTGGCCTGTCCCCGTCCCCCAGGCAAAGGTCCCGAGACGCTGGTGGCCGGGCAGAGGTTGGACGACAACGAGTGGCACTCGGTGCGCGTGGTGCGACGCGGGCGCAGCCTCCAGCTCTCCGTGGACAACGTCACCGTGGAAGGTGGGGGACACCACGTGTGGAGCTCCACGGGACCTGGGGACACGCGTGTGCGGGGACGGGGGTGCTCGAGTCCGTGGGGACGTGGGGCTGGATGTCCATGGAGATGTGGGGCTGGAGCTCCGTGGTGGATGCTCAGCTCCATGGGGATGGGGCTGGACCTCTATGGGGACATGAGGCTGGAGGTCCATGGTGGATGTTCCATGGGGTGGAGGTTCCATGGGGACGTGGTGGATAGGGTTGGAGCTCCACGGGGACATGTGGGTCCATGAGGTGCAGATGTCCACGGGGACACGGACGCTCAGTTCCATGAGGATGTGGGGCTGGAGGTTGGTCCATGGAGATGTAGGGCTGGAGCTCCATGGAGGATGCTCAGCTCCATGGGGACGTGGTGGATGGGACCAGAGCTCCATGGGGATGTTCATGGAGATGTAGGGCTGGAGCTCCATGGTGGATGCTCAGTTCTACGGCGATGTGGAGCTGGATCTCCATGGAGATGTAGGGCTGGAGGTCCATGGTGGATGCTCAATTCCATGGCGATGTGGGGCTGGAGGCCCATGGAGATGTGGGGCTGGAGCTCCATGGTGGATGCTCAGCTCCATGGGGACGTGGTGGATGGGGCTGGAGCTCCACGGGGACATGTGGGTCCATGAGGTGCAGATGTCCACGGGGACATGGATGCTCAGTTCCATGAGGACGTGGGGCTGGAGGTTGGTCCATGGAGATGTAGGGCTGGAGCTCCATGGTGGATGTTCAGCTCCATGGGGATGTGGTGGATGGGGCTGGAGCTCCATGTGGATGTGGGGCTGGATGTTCATGGAGATGTAGGGCTGGAGGTCCATGGTGGATGCTCAATTCCACGGCGATGTGGGGCTGGAGGTCCATGGGGACATGAGGCTGGATGTCCATGGAGATGTAGGGCTGGAGCTCCATGGTGGATGCTCAGCTCCATGAGGACCTGGTGGATGGGACCAGAGCTCCATGGGGACGTGGGGCTGGATGTTCATGGAGATGTAGGGCTGGAGCTCCATGGTGGATGCTCAGCTCCATGAGGACCTGGTGGATGGGACCAGAGCTCCATGGGGA